CTATCCGAAGCCAGCATGCCATTCACTGACGAAAGTTCCTTGTGTTTGGGGAGCAATGTTCATCAAGCAATGGACAGATTGGTAGCGTTGGGGTTGTTCTACTTCGATGTATCCTTACAACTCCGAACGCAACGTGCAAGCAAGGAACAGTGGAATTGTATCGGTTCGAAAGCATTCGTACAAAGCTAACGGGAATTCGCGAGCTCATCCAAACGTCCTCTCCATCACACAAATCATCACTGACGAAGAGTACGATCAGCAAATCTGCCTTCCAGGCCCGGACCTTTTCCAGCACGAATACCATACGAGCATCATACCTCACTGGATTACATCACCAGTTGAAACAAAGGTTTCCTTGGTTCGTCAAGCGTCACTGAAGCCTCCCGCTGCATACCCCAAGCCAACGGCCCAAAGAGTGGAACCAACTAGGCAGTGGCGACGCTGAGTACGATCACCATTAATCGAGGGACCAGCGGCGTGGGCACAGTTGTCGATTGTCGTCAGGTCCATCCCGCGCGGGAGCACGCAAGGTTGTCAGCCGACGTTGGGTTGACCCCCCCCGGGAGGAAGAAGAAGTCTTACAGCCACCACCACTGCCACCTATGCCAAAGGTGATCCTAGCCGAAAACGCACCACCAATCGAGGGACCAGCGGCCTGGGCACGGTTGTTTGCGGACGAGATGCTACCGAACGCGCACACACTGAGTGGGACCACCCCGATCACGCTCCCTCTCTCTCTACCGTCCTCACCTCAATCTTGATTAGGATGGCACAAGAGCAGGACCATCATCTCCACGTTCCTTCCCCTCCCTGGACACTCGATCTTTTCACCCGTTCTCTGCACCCCGGGCTCCCTCACTCATTGAGATTAGCAATTTCCAGCACTACGGGTCGTTAATCGGCCTGATTTGGAATTCAGAGTGGTGTCAGCGTGCATTGGGCTCGATGGCACTAATGGAGCACCACATCCACATTCCAACTGGGCGCCCTTCCTAGAGTTTCCACATCAGGAGTGCACGACGGCACAATGCACAGGAGAAGTGATTTATGAAGGTGGCCATAGGAAACACGCCCTTTCATCTTCTTGTCTTTGCAATGGTGTGAAGCACTCTGCATTCCAATATAGAAGCGCACGTGGTGTTAGCGTCATGGATCGACCTCACGCTTCAACGATAGATCCTTCGAGTAACAGCATATCCAACGCCACGTGTGCTTACATAAGTTTCGGGGACTTTTATGTACCCCACATTAGTGCAGCAACAAACGAACAGGGGAATCTGCCCCTTGAGCTCACAGCCACGACTGCCTTTCATCTTCTTGTCTTTGCAATGGTGCGACGCAATTTGCATTCCAATATAGATGCGCATGTGGTGCTAGCGTCATGGATGGGCCTCACGCTTCAACGACGGATCCTTCGAGTAACAGCATATCCATCGCCACGTGTGTTTACATACGTTCCGGCGACTTTTACGTACCCCACATTAGTGCAGCAACAAAGGAACGGGGGGAATCTGCCCCTTGAGCTCACAGCCACGACAACCTTTCTTTCTCCTCTTCCCCCTCCTCGTAATGAGAGTGTGGATCACTTCGTCTAAGCCCCTTATTACTCTTTTCTCGATTCCCTCCTTCGTTTGCATACCTCCATCTTCGTTTTTGCAATTGGTAGTAATAACAGAGCGCGTGATGAATCGCAATGTAAAACGAAATGTGTAAAAGGGAGGGTGCAATTATTGTAGATTGGCTCAATGATCACAGTCAGTTGATGTCGAAAGGGGCCACCTCGATCATCTTATGGACATGGAAACATGGCAGGCAGTCAAGAAACTGCCAATTGTTCATAACCACCTGCATATCACAAATATGATTACCTTGGTTCCATACCCCACAGCTTCACATACCCTTCGCAATAAGCCCCAACATACAGATCTTGACGAACATGGATGAATAGCATCCATTTCATTTTTTTTGTTGATGAATTCCATACATATCTTTCTAGTTTGTCCATGTCATTTTCGAATTTAGCTCCGCGCGGCCGACTACCAACCGCATAGGTACTTCAAAGGGAAGGCTATGAAGTCAAGAACGCTATTATTTCTTTTGCTTAGCATGCACACACAACCATTTTCCCATTCTTGCTCGACTGCGCAAGCTAGATTCCCTCTTCCCACGCCCTCGCCAACTTCTCTTCTTGCTGCCCTTCGTCTACACAAATTCCTTCATTTTCCTATCGCTCCCTGTCTTATCCTCCCCCTTCGTCCTTCGGCACAATTGATTGGTCACCACTTGAGTTGGTTCAATCAAGCTGTAAGACCGAACTTAAGCACACGGCTTGAACAACCACCTCAAGTGTGCAAACATTTTGAGCATCCCTTTTCGACCTTCTCGATCCTTCCTTCTTCTCTCCTCCTCATCTACCACTTTTCGCTACCTGCATTACACGTTGATGCCCCTCCGCCTCCCTCAATATAATTTTGCACAGCCGCCTCCTCTCCTCATCTTTGATCTCGGTTGCGATGTTGCATGAGCTATGCATGAACATTGTCGCGCCAAACAAGCTCCACGTGCCCCAAGAACCGGCGGAATGACAATGTGGGGTGGACTTAGCAGTAGACGCAGGGTGAGTGGTGGTGGAGACAGGAACAGTCAGTGGTAGAGCCTTGTGGCTATGCTTGCACGCCCTTGGTTGGATATGGTGGCTGCGCACGTGAGGTGCCACTGTTGTAATTTTTAATTATGAATAGTGAGGGACTTTGCTTCTTCTTCATCGCTGCTTTTTCCAGGAGTTCATGTGTGTCGAAGACTAAGTGTGTGCACTCTGTCGTGTGCATGGCCTTGGTTGCATGTGTCTGTGGAGGCTGAATGCTTCGTTGTGAAAAAGTCTATGGATGTACGTTGTGAAGGCATGGCTGCTTGAGGATTAAGTGGTTGTGCTTGTTGTCATCTTGTCTGCACGCATATACAGGCGATGAAGTAGAGGTGTTCGGCCGTTGGGAAAGAGACGTCGGGCGTAAACGCTACGTCGCACAGATCGGTTTCCCTAGCCTTTAGGCCATTGCCATTTTGGCAGTTTGTTTTGGGTCGTCATCGTGTGTTGATTACTTATGTTGTGATTGCGTGTCGGGTCTGGGTCAAACCAGGGTGGGAGTTGCATGGGTTCGAGGGTTGCTAATCTGAGCGCGAGCGCGGGTAACTGGCCGTGCTCGAAACTTACAATCCGCCATAGCAACTACCACGATTTCCAATTGCAGATGAAGATGGACTTTACTACGACCCAAACGTGCGAAGGACACTATTGAGGACCGATCGGGTTCACTTTTAAAACCCGTCCAAGGCATATGCCATATAGGTGGGGTGGGATTTAAATTGATTGATCGATTCTCTTCCCCCTCGCTAATCTTGCCATACACAGATCTAACGATGCTTCCCTGGTCGGCTGCACAATCCACCTGGAAGCCCCAATTTAACTGTCGCTGGTGCAGATTGGGAAATTCGTGCTCCTAGCGTCGGTTGGTGATGGGGTACAAAGGGTCCATCTGGTTCCCAAATCTCTCCCGTAACGCGGGGCCTCTTTCGACGAACTTCGGGGTCCTAATACCTCCACTCCCTTTGTCGTTTAGGAGTCTGATCGATTGCACGGGCGATCATGGCCCCGCGCCGCCGCTTAAGGTGTCTCCTTCCTACTTGGCCCCTACAAAAAGGGTATCGTGAAGCTAGCGCCGCTTAGGCGCCTCCTTCATTTCCTTTCGGTGTTTTTTAATTTCTTTACCAGAAGTATTGGGGTTTTGCCTATCTGCCCCTAAGTCCAATGGCAAAGTTCTGAAGTTTTCTTGGCCCCGTCTCTCTTTCTTTCCTGCAATTTTGGGAACGTGTCCACATTGGGTCGACGTTGCCAAAAGAACCCTCCGATCTGAGGCGAGAACCCCAGTTTCGCACTGGCGCCCCACCCAAAATCCTCAGCCACGCCCCACCCAAAATCCTCAGCCACGCCCCACCTCCTCTAATCAGTGTTCCCACGAGTACAAGACGTTGTGCAGGGTGTGAGGTTGCATATCACAGGTGCGCTCACTACAGCAGCAGGTCTCCCAACCAATACCCCCAAGGCCAACCTTTTACATCGGCCGCATCTGCAGACTCCTTGTGAGACAGTTGTGGTGGCATATAACCTAAATTTATAATCCACCACTTGTGTCCTCCTCCCCTTTTCCGCCCTCACCACTTTCATTTGCACCCTTTATTTCTCAAACCTCACTATTGTGTCCTTCAGTTTCAAGAAACGGCTACTTCTAACCTCAACCCTCTTCCCCTAGATGTAAAAGCATTTACTCGAACCATCCTGGAAAGTCTCAGAGTGAGAATGCATGAAGAAGTTAAGAGGACGTAGTGGTTCTCATAGCAACAGCTTTGGGCCTCGTCCATTCGACAAATCCCAACATGCTGTGTATCTGAACCTGGCAGACATCAGGATACATTAGAATGTTGGCCTTTAGCAAACTGTAAGGTGAAGCCCTTTTTCTTTGGATTCTCATCTTAGCGTACACATCCGTGCACATGTAATTTACGATGGAATCTGTCATCGGTCAAACATTCCACGAAGATACTCGTTACTAGGCTAGCTTTTAAAATGCAGTGAATTTTTTATTATTATTTTTTTTCCGACTTCAGCGCCTTGCTGCGCATTCTGAGTGCTGCTGCTATCTGGGTCCGTTTTCAATTTTCATGCATATGACATGAGGGAGGAGGGAGGGAGGAGGGAGGGAGGAGGGAGGGAGGAAGGAGGACTATGGCGGGAGGGAGGAGGGAGGACTATGGCGGGATGGAGGAGGGAGGACTATGGCGGGATGGAGGAGGGAGGAGTATAGCGGGAGGGAGGAG